GGGCGGGGGGGGGTTTAGGGAGGAAAGAGAAACCTGTTTTGAAACAGGAAGAACTGCTGGTTGTGGGCAGAAGCTGTCAACACGGTGATGCTCCCTCATTCGACAGCAACCACCCCCACCCCCAAGCACCCAGCCACCCAGTCCCATGCGATCATTGCCTGGTGGGCAGGGGAGCACCGGCCAACAAGACTCCTTCACTTGGGGCTCTCCGTCACAGCCCGGCTGCTCCTTGTTCCTTCTTCCAAAGCAGAGGCCCAGGGGTGCCCCTGGGCCCTCCCACGCCCTCACCCCAGCATTCGCTGTCACCAACTCTGGCCAGGTCTGCCTCCCCATGTCTGCTAAGCCCCCCTCCTTACCTGGCCCACTGCCAGCCCCTGCTCTGGGCCTTGCATCTCTTCCCTGGACCGTCGTTATAGCCTTTTCATCAGTATCCCAGCCTCCACTGTCGGCTTATACTCCGACCTCCACCCGGCAACCTGGGGGATTCCTCATTTACAAACATGATTTTGCTTTTCAGATGCCTTCAATGATGCTTATACAGCACTGATTCATTCAATCAAGTAATCATTCAGCAAATAGTTATTGAGCTGTGTGCCAAACACAGGGCTTGAGGGCAGGACAAGTGAGGGCCTGCTCTTAGGAGCTTAGAGCCCAGTGGGGAGCTGCCAAATCTTCAGAGAGCCCAGGAAATGTCCCTTTTGCTTGAATGGTTCACCTTGACCCTAGCAAGTACCTAGTAGATGCTAGCTAGATACACAGTAAGCCCAGCTTTCCAGCCATCAAGGCACCAGTCATGGCATGAGCCATCTTGGATGTGCCAGCCCAGTCGAGTCCCCGGATGACTGTAGCCCCAGCCAATATCATATGGAACAGAAGAGCCACCCCGCTGAGCCCAGCCAACCATAGAATCATGGGAGATGATAAAATGGTATACTGAAACAATTTCTAAGTTTTTAAAAATATTTTTATTGATTTTGAGAGGGGAAGGGAGAGGGAGAGAGAGAGAAACATTGATGTGAGAGTGGAACATCAATCAGCTGCCTCCTACATGCCTCCTACTGGGGATCAAGCCTACAACACAGTCACGTGCCCAGATTGGCAACCCTTCGGTGCACAGGACGATGCCCAACCAACTGGACTACATGGGCCAGGGCCAATTTTCATTTTTTTCAACAACAATTTTTACCGACTTTTCAGAGCCCAAGTCCCTGCTATCTTTTTTTTTTTTAAATTTTTTATAAAAATTTATTTGAGCCAAAAATAAGATATGCCTGGAAGCAAAATCTCAACAGATTGAGAAAAATTGTCCCTGCTGTCTTTTCCTTTCATTGTTTACCTCTCCTCCCTCCCCTCTTAACTCTCCCATCACACAAGAAATGCTAAGTATGTCTTTACCCTATCCTTCCACGCCTCTAGGGTCACCTGACTGCATCCAGGCCTTGTGGGCTATGGGAAGTAGGACAGGCTGGGCTCTGGGGAGGGAGGCAAAGGTCTAGGGTGGTTCTAGAAGACTTCTGAAGGCCTCGAGGAAGGTGGGACGATGAGCAGTCATCTATGTAACCCAAAGCTCAAGTCAACTCAGTTCCCATGTACTAACCGTGTGCTCTGGGGCAGGAGCTGGAAGTGAAGAGCAGGGTGAGACCCAGCCTTCTGCTCCCCGGGGGCTCCGAGGCCAGTGGGAGGGACGGACGTGTAAATCAACACCCGGCCTGTGGTTGGGTTCACATACCCCAGCAGCGCACTCTGTACCGAAAGGAAGACTCTGGTCTCAGGTGCCAGGGGAGAGAGATGTTTGCTTCCTGCACTTCGCTGAAGAGCAGCCACGACAACAAGGAGAACACAAAACAGAAACACAAACTCTCATCTTCAAAGAAAGCAGGAGACACCTGTGACCCCAAACCACCGCACAGGCAGGAGAGCAGGTGGGAGGGTGGTAAATGATTTAACAGCCCGGACTGGCAAGCCTAACTGCCCGCTGTTCCCTGGGGGCGGGGCGGGGCGGGAGGAGGGGCGGAGCCTGAAGAGATGCAAACCAACTGGCCTGGCAGAACCCCAGGAGGCTCCCAAGGAGGGGCCCAGACACCACAGATGGCGAAGTCTGTTTCAGGAGCCGTTGGACTCCAGGTCTCCCCCTCTGCACTGTGCAGCCAGGCGACCATCCTTCTCTAAAGCCGGGCGGGGAGATTCCAGCCAGAGACTTCCGGACCCAAGGCCACTGGCTACTGGCTACGGGCATGTGGGGGTGAGACCCCAGGCTGCTTCCTGGGGGTGGGGGTGGTAGATTTGATGGTGCTTAGCAGGTAATCTCACTCCCATCCCCCGCCCCTCCCTCCAGGCCAGGAGTGTAATTCCCACTCCACTGATGCAACCTGGCCCAGGTGACTTGCTTTTGGCCAATGGGTGGTTAGCATACGCATCACTAGGAGAGACCTGAGTGTGTTTCGCCCTTGAGCTTGCTCTTGTGCTGACAAGAGAGCGTGCCTGGTAAGCCTGCTGCTCGGAGTGTGAAAGAAACGGCGGCTGTAGAAGGGGGTTAAGTGATTCCATCCTTGAAGCACCCTATGCAGTAGCTTTGAAGATGAGGACTGAGGCTCAGAGAGGTTAAGTCACAGATCTAAGATCACACAGCTAGGAAATGATGAAGCTGAGATTCAACCCCAGCAGGACCCCGCAGGGACTGATGAACCCCGGGACACCTTAATGGGGACTCCAGTGACAAAGCCCCAGGGGGTGGGCTGGGAAGGCGTTTGGGCTCAACTTGTCTTATTGGAGAGGACAGACCCAGCATCTGCAGCTGAGGCCCCGCCCCGCTCTGTGGTTGGCTCTGGCCTAGGCTCTGTGTTGGGGAGGAGCAGGTTCTGCCCTGGCTCTCAGGGTGGGAGGAGCGTGGGCCCCAGCTCCTGGGAAACCACCTGTCTGATGGTGGAGGCACACTTGTTGGACTTGGGGGAGCCCTCCAGTCTGAGGGGAGAGACCTGGCCCTAGTTTGAGAGGGCCCGGGTGTGATGAAAAGACACATATAGCATCGTCCTATCTTGGGGAGGCAGGCCAGACAGCCCCTCCAGGACCGCAATGCCAGGCAGGGCAGGGCCACCCCATGTCTCCCAGACACCCAGCGGCGCCTGCTCCCCAGAGCTCACAGATATAGAGCTGCACTTCCTCCTTCTGCCCCTCCGGTCCCAGGGGGAGGGCTGGTCAGGGTCATTTCTGCTGCGAAGGCCGTGGGTGGGAGTGGGTGTTTGACTCAGGTCCCACCTGCCCCCAGCTGGGTGCTCGCGACCCCTCACCACTCTCCGGCCTCCAGCAGCCGCTCAGCACAGCCTCCCTCCTCCTGCCACCCTGCCCACTCCCCCTCGCCAGCTAGCTATCCTGTTGTCCTCCTTAAACAGGCAGCACATGCCTACTGGCCAGGCCAGTGCCAGGCCTGGGGACACAGTGCGGACCACACAGTCTTCCCTTCCGAGCTCACAGCCCTGCACAGAGAACACAGCCCCCACAGCCGAGTCTTGAGCTCAGATTAGAGGCTCGTGGAGGGGGCGTGGCTCTGGGAAGTCTGGGGGCGGGGCTCTGGGAAGCCGGGGGTGTGGTTCTGGGCTGTCTGGGGGCGGGGCCTAGCTAACCCAGGGCCTGGAAGGCTCCGCGGGAGGCCACCTGCAGGAGGACTTCCTTCACCTCACACAGGGGGTGGGGTGAGTGTCCCGCCACAGCTCGGAGACCTTGCCCTTCCCTCTGCCTGAAGGCTCTTCCCTGGACATTTGCTTCGTCTCTCTCACCTCCCCAGAGGCCTTCTGAGCTCTCCTGTCTAATGAATGAATGAGAGACTGGCAGACTTCATAAATGAATGAATGAGGCTGGAGGTGCCTGGAGCTCAGGCTGGGGGGGGAGGGATCAGCAGAGCAGAAGAGGGGGCGGGACAGGCGGCAAGATTGGGGTAGTATAAAGCCTGGTGGGCGATGAGAAGCCACGGAGGCCTTGGGCAGGGGAGGGGCAGTGCCATGGAACCCTCCCTCACCCCCAGAGCTGCCTCAGAGCCCACTTACTCCTCACCAACTTGCCTGGGCAGAAGAGTGAGGACTGCAGGAAGGTCTGTCCCTGGTCCTCCTGTGCGCTGCAGCAGCCAGGATGGCACCCCGGGAAGAACCGGATTCCTGGCTCTCTGAGGGCCTACTACACACCAGCCCTACAATCAAGTGGGTCCAGCTCTGTCTGTCCTTAAGGAATGGGGCCCAGACAGTGCCTGGCACACAGTAGGTATTCAACCGCCTTTCTCCTGTTACCCCCTTGCCCTCCTGAGAAGGGGGCAGGCTGCTCGGTGGCAAGGTGCTCGAGAGCACACCTTTGGTGCGAGGCTGTTGGCTTCTCCTGTGTGATCTGAGTAGACGGCTTCCCCTCTCTGAGCCCCAGCCTCCTTATCTGTAAACCGATGCACTAATGCTGCTTACCGTGGCGGGTGTGGTGGCGAGAAGTAGGATAACGGGCCTGAAGCAGCCCACGACTGATAAAAATTGCCGTCATTACTAACTGACCCTTAGCGTTTGTGATGCTCAGGTTGAAAGAGGATCTCAGGACTGGTCTAGTCTCACCGCCCCACGGTCCCAATGAGGAAACTGAGGCCTGGAGCCGGGACGACTCGCTCACGGTCCCTGGCAAGTCAGCACCAGCTGGGCACGGTGCCCTGGGGCAGCCAGGCCTGTGCGCGGCC